TTCTGTTGCCTGTTGGCAATAACAATTGAAGCAAATAGATGGAGTGTACTTTGAGGATAAATGGTTCAATTCTTGGTAAATAACAAAACAAGTGACTTTTTAGATTGAGCCAATATGGCACTCGTATATCATATGTATTTGTATTTCTTAGAAATGCCATTTGAATCAATCGCAATGTCAATAAATGTCTATTTACGAACGTGTCGCATTACAATGCTATCATTCTATAGTATGAATTGCGATAGGTGCGACTTTGTCACTGGTCGTCCCGTCAATCTCAACTGTCGCATTTGGCACCGGCTTTGGTTAATTGTGAATACGGCTCCTTGATAACAAAATGATCTGTAATGTTCTCAAAACAAAAACACTAAACAAAAATTTGAATAAGAACGCGTGACAAATGAGGTGGCATTTAGTATCATTTTTTTTCATAAACAGTCCTGACAATTTCGACCGATGCGGGATAATCAGAGAGATGGAATAGGAAAGATTATTTTTCTATCTGAATCATATTCTGAATCATAACACATATAATAAACACAAAGAGTTTTAATTTTACAGTACCTCTACGCAGGTTATGATATATATAGAAGCTAATGTTAGGGTTTTGGCAATGTATTAATGTAGTAGCAACACAAGTTATTTCCTCTACAACTATTCAGAGGTTTTCCATCGACCGATTGATGCCAAGGGCATCGCCATGTTGCCTGACCGTCACCATGGTTTCGCATAAACAAAATTCATATGTGACAAATCGGAAAGTGCGAGGCATTGTGGATACAAAAAGACGCCTATTGACATTACTTCGCTTTACCTCAGTCCCCAAACAATAGAATTGTATACGATATGTTCAAAGCTATTGAACCGACACGACACACTGTATTTGTTGTGGAGGGTTTATTATATACATAGAAGTACAATAGCACAGTGATGTGGTACGATGTATTAGCATGTAGTTAACGGGACTTTAATAATGTGCCAAGGTCAGTACTGACAGGGTACCATTGATATACAGTGACACGGGGGCGACCAAATCAAAACTCAGAGATGTATTGACAACAATAGATATTAGAAACTGATCCCGACTAAAGCCGCTACAGGATTAATAATACGTTTATATCCATTCTAACACGTCCAAGTTGCGGCGACCGAAAGCAGGAAATCAGATCCGAGTAAAGGTAGGCCTACGTCTTAAATGTCACTGACAAGAATTTCGTGTGCGTGTGTCAATCTACCCGTGCGTTTAATTGCCCACTCATTGAAACACTGTAGGCTACTGTCGCACATTTTGTATAAACGGAGATCTTACAAGTTGAGATCCAACTTAAATTAGTTCAAATCGCGATAAAAGACAAGATTAAAAGTGCTGCATTGGACATCATATTGAGATGGAGCCCAGCACATAGCACAAGTTAGATTCATTTTGGCTCTAACTTGGTTCTTGTGGTTAGACACGGCTATTTACAGTGTGTGAGTAAAACTACTACCCCCTCCCCCCCACACACACTCACACACACACCGCCCGTATCAAAGTGTGTTTGTTATTTTTTAGATAAGATATACATGTAAGTTCTACGCAGTGAGTTTAAATCGTCACACCCTCCCGGCATTGTAGCTCCATGTAGAGAAGGTTGGGTGCGGTATAGGCTTACTGTCTGATTTGAACGGCTGATCGAGCCAATGATACACAATTCACATCAGAGGATATTACCAGTAGACAATCAATACCCGTTTTATACATGCTCTTGCTTGGTTTGCAAAGGCGCAGTACTATCATACGCTGACCATGTCACTTATACAGACGTGTGCAATACCCCCAGCTTCCAGTATATGCACACTGAAACACACACACACACACACACGCACACACGCGCACAACACACACACACACTCACAAAAACTTACTCGTGCCTTTACGCACCAATAAACGTCTTCATGCGCGCTCGTGCTCTTGCAATATTTATGTTGTCAGTTAACAGACATCATGTAATCCTTGGTAAAATGGTGGTGTAACAAGCCCTAATACTTAATACTTATGACGGATTGCATTAGGAAATTTTGCAGTAGAAGCCTGGAAGCTGAATACAATCGTGTGTAATGCAGGAATACAGTATTGAACGCCGTGTACGTATGTGCTTCTGGCAACTTTCTGATTTCCGTTTTTGATGGCAGACAATATGTTTCTGTAATGAACTGTTCCGCTGTTTTCAATGCTGACAAAAATTAACTTCAGGTATAGATTTAGATTAGACATAATACACCGATATTTCCCACTGACTAGCACGTATACTAGAATAACGATTACTTCTAGTTCATGGGTTTCTTTTGTAAGTTTACAGTGAAATACAACATAGCAATGCCTCCCTCCCCCCCCCCCAATTGTACGCTTGAATTATACACGTGTACTAAGCAAAATGTTTGTAGAAAAACCATTAAAAGATGTTTTTGTCATTTAGCTGCACATATGGAATAAACCAGCAGTTGCCTTGATGATTTCCTTAACAGCCATTGCAATACAGAAACAAATTTAAAAGATGAGGAAAATGACAATTATATTATGATGATATATACTGTAAACACCGGTACATATAGCTCGTCAAAATACTACGCACACAGTAGCCGCGGATGGCGAAGGACGGTGTTACGTAATCCGAAGTGGTTGCTGCGCTAAACAAACAGCACACTGAATATATTATAACTTGACCGGTCAATACACGCGTCAGGGTGAAGTAAAGATATTAGATATTTTCATGTCCCACTCCTACCTGTGTCAAACATAGCAACGTTGTGGCTTTGGGGTAATAGGTATCGATGTGATATTTTGAGAGATTGTTTGAAGTTGTTTTTAATTAATGTTCTTATTAGTGAAGTGTGTGTGTGTGTGTGTGTGTGTGTGTGTGTGTGTGTGAGAGAGAGAGAGAGAGAGAGATGGAGGAGAGAGGGGGGAGGAGAGAAAGAGAGAAGGAAAGGATAGTATTTGACCGTCTCCAAATTAGCCCATAACCACAGCCTAGCCTGTCTGTTCGGTCGGAGGTATAAAAAAAAACACTATTTTCGTTAGTGGGCATTGCAGTGTTATCCTATTATAAATTATGATTTATGCAATATACAAAGGTAAACATTACTGTCGTCCGAATAAAGTAACAGTGTGTGCAGGTTGAACCATTAAGTCTTCGATTTCTTTGCTGTAAGCTAATTTTAGCCCTGTTTTTGTCATTTTTACATCATTACATCACATTCATATATCATTTCTTTCATACCATTTAAATGTTGAAGAATATATCCTTAAAATGATTTGCAAAATGTGAAATTTCCTGCCATCGTCTTTAAAACATCCCAACAGATTTCAGTTAAGAGAAAGCCAAACAAAATCACATTTTATATACACTGTGCTTTTCAAAGCTGGTCTGTAACTTGTCCACAAATTTTAATTGACTCAACAACATACAATACCCTAGGCATTGTTAAAAAAACGAGAACCCTCAGGGACAATGTAACAACAAACAATATCACTGTTTAATGTTTTCGCCAAGTCTTTGAAACGGTGCATAGCAACAGAAAGCAAACTTGGCTAGTGTATTTAACAACAAAACATTGTGTCTCTCGGGGTAATGGGGTATCAAGCTTGTTTTTTTACTTTCTAAATAGAGGAACAGCCATGCGTTGTTGGTGCCCATGATCTGGTCGAGATCCTGCTATTATCCTATTGATGATTCATAGTCAGCAGGTTCAGGATATTACTGAAAAAAGGGGGAAGCAAAGTGTTAACTCCTTACTTGATATTTATCACGACATTTAATACATCCCCAAGGGGAAATTGTGAGTTCGAGTTTATAAATTTTCTGAAATAATTGAATTTTTTTCTCCCAAATACGAAGGAAGTATCAATTCAGCCAAGCTGATGAAATCGTGGGATGAAATGAGTTTCGTCATTTCCTTCCTTTTTTTCTTTCCTTCTCCTTTTTTATTTAAATCAGTAACCCACATAATTGTATTGAAAAAAATCTACGATCGCAGTGAAGAAAACCTCAACCTTTTAAAGGTATTACCAACGCTGTCCCTGAGAGGACAACAAGGCAGTAAAATATTCCGCAATGTCATTCATACCTCGGAGTACGCGTACGTCAAGTAGCCGCCCACTTCTGACATCGAACAGTCTTGTAAATTAACATCAGGACAGAGATTTATCGCGCACCTAGCCATTTGAAAAGATCTTTAACAGACCTAGCCACCGGTTGTCACGAATCTTTCACGGTGTGACACAGTCATTCCCCCCTCACCCTGATCGTCACAAGGTTGACCTGAACTGCGCCACTTTATCAGCGGACCATATCGGTCCCCTTTCAGCCTCACCCTCGGGGTGAAGTCATGTCGCCTGAATCAGCTTTATATACAGTTCATGCGACAGTAACAGTATCTGTATCTCCACAGTGATTCACCTTTATATTAATTGAAAAGTCAGTCTCATGTTTATGGCATCATATCGGTTATCGAAGCAGTGTCTGATTAAGAGTTAACTGTGCCAATATAGCATTGAAGGGCGTTTCATTTTAACCTTAACGCATTTGGTGGTGAATGTTTGATACGCTTAAATACGAGGTAAGACCCAATTTTTAATCAATGTACGGTTTTGTGATGCTGTCGAAATCAGGCACTTAACCACATCCAACTGATCTTCGATATTAACTTTAATGACTAAGATTTTGAACGAAATTTAGCTCAAAGACACCACTTCCATTAATCATCACTTACACGTATAAATCTCCAAAATTGTAGTTAATGTTGTGATATATTTAAATAATCAAAAGTTTAATGTTTTCTATTCCTTTCCTCCGGTCCCGCCTCTCAGATGGACTTTTTTAAAATCTCGTTTTGTTTCTTTCATTTGAGGGCGTTAGTCTACGTTGTTGAATATGGATCAATTACCACTTACGCAATGTGACAATGTGTCCATTATACACCCTTCGAAAGCGACTTACTATACCTCTCTTTTCAGTACTTTGGGACAAATATACAGAGACGCCAAAATGGACATGTTGTCACTTTTGTGCGTGCTGTTGACGCTGTCTTTCACGACGGCCTCTGATATTGTCAAAGTTGATGGTAAGAGATGAACGTATCTTGGATTCGATTTGATAAGATTAATTGTTATCAAATATGATATCAGAATTGTTATCTAGACTCGTATAGATTTCAAAATTGGTATTTTGATAGTTCAACGAATGGTATAGTATCATTGTATGTATGTATGTCTGGGAGTGTGTGTGTGTGTGTGTGTGTGTGTGTGTGTGTGTGAGAGAGAGAGAGAGAGAGAGAGAGAGAGAGAAAGAGAGAGAGAGAGAATATTTTTGGCAAATGCGCACTCCAATACTGCATGTACGGTAAAGAACTTCTCGATGTGATCCAAAATGTGATTTTCATATATTTTCTATTCTGACAAAGAAAGTAAATCATTTTAATTATAATAAACACTTTTTCTTTAGTGTCTTCCAAATCCGAGGACCCTTACGGCCACCTCCATGCCTACCACATCGTCCAGCCTATCCGACTGGAAGGGAACAGGAGGAAGCGGGACCTGTCAACCCGGACACACGACAAGGTACCCCTGCGTATTACGTCACAGACGTAGTCCACATTCTTCAGTGACGTAATACGCAGGGATATAGAATGTGAACTACGTCAGTGATTTACTAAGTGTGGAACAAGTAAATGCAGTGGCATCTGTATCTGTTTTCTCACCTGCTCTCACCTGTGAGACTTTTCTGTAAATTGACGATCGATTTAAGGTGCTAGGCCGTTACGTTATAATATTAAATCATCCCAAACTAAGTGCACAATTAAAGAGAACATCATGTTTGCATCAACGCTAATCATGGCTCCTTATATCCACCAATCAATGGTCCTCATAAAATATTGAATTAATTGAATGACTGTTCACGAGTAATAGGACAGTGCGAACATGGCAGCGTCAGTCAATAATGTCTAGATTTCCCCCGAGGTTTCACGTGATAGTGTGGTATAGTTTCAAAATAATAATAATAATAATAATAATAAAAATAAAATAATAATAATAATAATAGTTATTATTTTGAGATTATTGATCATGGATGAAGTCAATTTTCTCAAGACAGCGTATTCATCTTTCAGGTTTTTCATTTATCACAGCCGTCGTTTTCCATCAGAACTCCTGAGCGAGATTTTGTAATCGATCTGGAGTTGAATACGTGAGTAATTCTTTATAAGAGATAAAATAAACATGTCAAGTTCAAATTAAACAGACCCCAAAATGTAAATAAATGAGCAAATAGTGATAGCAATACATGTGTAAATACAAAATTAAAGAAATCGGAATCTCAGCATAAAAATATAACAATAGAAAGAAAATGTCCTTAACCCAGTTCATTAATTTGATACAGGTTGTGTAACTGAGTATAATGGTGGTATTGTTAAGAATAACAAATAATTTCCCGTTTATGCCATAAAACAACGGATCTTCTAACATTAGGCCTGATGGTTTGATGATGCGTTTGACGGTTTGATGACGTGATATGATGACTCCAATAGAGTGACGTTTTAATCATAGTTTAAATCTAATTTATTTTGTTTCATTTTTAGCGGCCTTCTTTCTGATCGGTTTATAGAAGTAACCTTTGACAATGAAGGTCAACGAAGGACAAAGAAGGTGAAGTCAATTTGCCATACGTATTTGTAAACCTTCACTATCATGATTTTAATAGACTGTCCACCTTCCGACTAGAAGTTTAAAATCAATTTTGAATCACAAAGTAATTTCTGAGGTGCATGTAAACTTTAGAATTACTTTCGATACTGTTCTATAGATTGGTATTTTATCTTCTGTAACCAGGTGAGAGATTCCATTACTTCTAGCAGCAAATCGCGATCATTTACATGTGATGAGTGTATATGAATAGGACACAATATGAATACGCTATTACTGTATTAACGTAACATTATTATAATGAGTACATGACATTCCAGCTTCACCCGGAAAGATGCTACTACCATGGTAAAATTCGCGGTATTGACGAGTCCAACGTTGTAGTCCATACGTGCCGCGGAATAAAGTGAGTAGATGTTCAAAAGTTGGTTTAAATCGTACTTTACAATTTTTTTAGAAGACAGTATGATAACATCAAAGAAACGCAATACTCTTGATTATTATTATTATTTTTATTCATTCATTCATTTCATTCGTGACTTTTTCTTGTAGTGGAATGATTCATGACGGTGACGAAATCCATTATATCGAGCCACACATCCATGACGACGTAAGTACATACATGTAGGGTCAGGTTGATGAAGAAAACTTTTTAGTTTATGACACTGGTCTAGGGTAACTGGTCTGGGTTTAGACTATTAACAGGAGGAAGTTTGCCTCATTACTGTCCAAAGGCTACTGATCCACATAGATATAGTACATATCAGTTATAGCGTACCAGTTGGACATATGCATTTGGCTGGACTCGTTTATATACTAAAGCACAACTGATTAATACAACCTATCAGATAACGTAGGCGTTAACTGTTCCCTGTATTCTAGTGTTATCTTGTTGTGTATATATCCGCCAACTGTATACTTTCGCCAATATGCACTGGAGTATAAATTGTAGTTAATATTATGATAATAAAAATACCTAGAAATTGGAAATAGATTGGCATTGTTTAAACTAATTTATATCTGTGGTCTCCCTCCTTTGACAGCGAGACACGCCCCAGAACCACGTGGTCTATAGGAAGTCGGACATCAAGAACCAGCCAAAGGAAATGAGATGCGGTAATAACTAGAAAACCATTCTTATGACAATGTTTTAAAGAAATCTGCCTCTTTTTACAAGTAAATTTAAACAAATATTTTGGTAAAATAACATATTTTTCATTGCTGAGTGACTTAATTTTGGCTGAAGGAGTTAATGGATGCTCAATTTTACATATATACATACATAACATTATATAATTCACTGTTTATATCATCTTTGTCTGAATCATCCATATATCATTCAGGGCACAATTCAACAATAAAGATGGACCACACGATATTAAAGGAGCCAACAGAAGCCAAGTCCCGCAAGGTAAACTTGCACTTGAATATGTACTGTGTCTATGGGTCACAGATAATTGAACTAAAATATCTTGTATGGTTTTTAGGAAAGATTTTTGTGAAGTAGATATTGACATGAATTGTTATAGATAAAACAAAAGGACAACATAGTAAGGTTTACTTTTTCTACTAGTATACTGATGTTAAATGAATGTCATGCTCTGTATCCTGCTATTTCTCATCTGTAATACTACACTGTATTTTCCTTTACTGACTGTCGTACTAATATCTCTTTAAAATTAATTTCTTCTTCTATTTTTCCACAGAAACGCGCCATCCCCACCTATAACAGTGCCCTGTCCACGCGATATGTAGAGCTATACAGTGTGACAGACTACAGGACGGTGAGTAATTGAAGTCGCCAGCTCAGCAGTAGCCAGGGCTGCCCACAAAGTATAAATATTGGGTCGCGAACAGAGCCCAGATGCCTTAGCGTAAAACTGGCTGACTTGAAATCTTGATGCGTCTTAACGTTAGTGCTGAAATTTGAGTATGTTTGGTTCTACGGTCGGTTGTGACGTAAATCAAAGTGTTATAGAGTTGGTTTAATACACAATATGAATGCACCGGTGGCGGAAATAATTGGAAATTGTTTGATAACTAGGTAACGACATACAGGTGAAGTAAGGTCGGGAACATTCTATATGATATATATCTATAAGAGAGAGAGAGAGAGAGAGAGAGAGAGAGAGAGAGAGAAAGCTTAACTTTTTCTTTCTATTTCAGTACCAACGTTACTCCAGTAATATTACCGCCATCAGGACGAGGGCCGTGCAGTTAGCTAACACAATGGACTCGGTAAGTTCTAACTTCCAAATACTCGAATTTCTTTTCACATTACGACGACATTTTGAAAATTTCAACATTCGTGTGCAAAGCGCGGAGTGCGGTACAGATAAAATAATAAACGGATACTGTGGCTGGAAGTTAAATACCATGTTTTTAATAAAAGATAAAAGTTTATAAATAATAAAACATAAGATAAAAAGTTAATATTAGATATAAAGTTTATATTTCTTTACAGATTTATAAAACCATGAACGTCCGGGTGGTCCTGGTGGCCGTAGAGGTGTGGTCATCCTCAGACAAGGCTACTGTGTCCACTGACGAGGACGCCACGGTGGACGCCTTCTGTCATTACAAAGAGAATAATTTGCCTATGAAAATATTGGATTACGACAATGCACAGTTGCTTATGTAAGAAAGTTATTTATTCATGAAGATATCATCTTTACGCCACCTTAATATTCCTCGCCGTCATTATTTACTGACTTAGCATTAACCTCAAACTCAACTTGACATCAGATGAAAAAATTCAATCTGTCTGTGGCGAACGGTAAGCTTTCCACCAGATACACAATAAAAAAAAAAAATAAGTGATAAACAATAATTAAACCCTGTTCTACTTTTCAGAGGCACTGATTTGACCGGCTCAACGGTGGGATACGCACCCCTTAAAAGCATGTGTAGCACAAAACGCTCCTGTGGAATAACAATGGTATAGAACTGTTAAACCTGCGTATTTCAATAATAATAATAATAATAATAATAATAATAATAATAATTTGCAACCAACATTGGATCGTAGGCTACATTTATAATACTAAAAGTGACAATTCTAAGACAGACAGATGTATTACAACATTTTTTAAAATACGCTCGCAAGCACTGCATTAGGATTAAACTTTTTTTGATGTATTTCGTACAATCATAAATTACCTAAAAGTTGACAGTGCCCAGGAAATAAATGTCCCTGAGGCTCGCACTGTTCTCAATTTGGCACTTAAAAAGGCCTGGCCTCTTCCTAGCTTATAAAACTATTCACCCTGCATTAGTACAGCTTTCAGTTGCGCTTATTTATCAATTTATTTTGATCATCTTCATTATCACCATTTTAGGATTTCAACAACGTTGAGCAGTCAGCATACATCATGGCGCACGAAATGGGTCACAATCTCGGCATGACACACGATGATGGACGTGAGTAAAGCTGGACGCAAATTTCTTATTAAATTAGTATTTATGACTAGTTCAAGTTTATATATTTATATATATATATATTATATTATATTTCTATATATATTGCCCCGGGTGACAAAAAATTTAATGCTCTGAGAATTATTTACTCAAAATAAATAACTCCAGCAGACGTGCGGAATTGTTAATCATGGGTACCCAGAACAGTTCATGTAAAGAACTTTTATGGCTACAGATTGTCATTGTTGTGCTAAAAGAGGGAAAATAATAATAATAATAATAATAATAATAATATGCAAAGTCGTGTTTTTTCACGAAGTTCTTAAAATAAAATTTACTTTTGTTCGAATGTCGCAACGTTACTTAATGTATTTTTATACTGAAAGGAAACCATTCGCTTTAAGCACTCATGAAATTTGTTTTCCGTCTCAGGAACCTGCTCATCTTGCGCCCACTCCGGAGGCTGCGTCATGAGCTCTGTTCTGTGAGTATTCTAACACACACACACACACGCACACACACACACACACAAACACACACAATGAATAAATAAAAGAAAGAAAAAAAGGAAAAAATAGACAATACATTTTCAGCTTAGGTAAACATTATGAAACGTTTTGATTAAGCCATTTCGCTTAAAATTTCTTGCAAAATTATTGTTTTAGATAATTCGTGTATTCATTTCCTATACAGACAATCGTCCCCCCTAGCCTGGACCCAGTGCAGTGTTGATGACATTAACGCTAACAATTGGAATTGTCTTAACGACGCCCCGACAGCGTCCTACGAGAAGAGCTGCGGTAATGGGATTAAAGAAGAGGGAGAGGAATGCGACTGCGGTACAGCAGCGGTGAGGAATTTTACGAGGGGGATCTAGAAAAATATCTGATAAATTATGATTATTAATCTATCATGTTCGGGAATAATTGTCACCACTTCATGCGGGAATTCTTGGCGAGACATTTTAACCAAAGAGTAATTGAAAATTAATTAGTAACCCTTATTTGATGAAAACATCATAGATGCATTAATCCGTGAAAGTTCATTGAATAGGGATAAGTTATCAATTAAAATTTTTCATTAATTTTTTTCACGTTCTAGGAATGTCCCACTGCTGACCCATGTTGTGAGACAACAGGGTGCAAGTTAAAAAGTACCTCTCAGTGCGGAGACGGCCCCTGTTGTTCTAACTGTCAGGTAATTGCAATCAAGCGCTTTACTTTTTTCAAAACTTACCACCTGACTGTGTCGAGGTGTTTGCGATACAAAGTTCTCTTTTTAACACACAAGCATATGTGCGACAGGGCGTTTCCAAATTTGATGAAAATGTGAATTACGTAAAACATATTTAAATAATACACTTTACCAGGGCCGTATATTAATTATCTGCATTTTTCTCCCGGGCGTCATAGCAAAGCACATCACATGAATTAGTCAGAACCATATCTGTGAACGGCTGGTGAGAAATCTATCTGTGACCCTGATTGAGGGTATGCAAATAATGTTCTTTTTTCTTTCAGTTTAAAGCCAAAGGGACGTCATGTCGGGCTGTGGCAACAGAATGTGATATAGCAGAGTCCTGCAATGGAGTCTCCAATCTGGTAATTATGACCACTGGAATAAGCAAAAGATTTAGGTTAATTTTTTTATAAAGGCTTTAATTTATTATATTTTTACCACTGAACAAAACGCAACTATTCAAATAAAGGTAGGGTACAGTCATAACGATATTAAAAGTACGCATGCTCATTCTAGTCTTATATTATATCTAATAATAATGGCAATTTCTTTTTAAATGAAAATTTTGCCCAAGCGCCTCACTTCTTTAACATTTTAAAGACGATATCCAATGTTTCTGAAACAAATGTAATTATGTAGATGCATAGAGAATTCGCAGTTTCTTTGCCATTTTAATTGTGTATCTGTTTCATGAAATGGATTATTGAAAAGCAAGTAATATATCATATAATATATCATATAATATATCTTACTCTCATGTTTCCAGTGTCCTGAGGATAACTACCTGGCTGACGGCACTGACTGTAACTCAACTACCGTGAGTAGAAATGACAAATGTTGAATCCATTTTGAACTTTTAAATCTTTTTTGAAATCTGTTTTTAAAATTTCATTTTGAAATTTTACAATTTATTCCACTTTGTAAAACATTTGCTGGACGGTGGGGTGGAGTTCGGCCGCTGGTCAGTAGTCTGACCATGACGCCCTCCCTTCACCCATATTAGGAACATTTTCTTGATGTTGATTTATCATTTTGGGATTAAATTTTACAGGAAATCCTTTGTCTTCACCCAGTTTGAGTAGGGTCCAAAAGAATTTTTGCGATGAAAATTTAAAACCACAATGAGTATTGGTGCAGACATTACTTTTCCTCTTTATACATGTACGTATTTTTTTCTCTTTGGCAGGGTTATTGTTATGCGGGACAGTGCCGGACACACGAATCACAGTGCCAGTATCTGTTTGGTTCCAGTAAGTATTTAAACCCCCTTTACACAGGACGACGTCCTTTCTGCGACCATGAAATTTGGCATCGCTGTGGTCTTAATAAGGAGGCACGAGCATTGAATTTGTATTAGAGTGAATGCTTTATGAGCGGCCAGTTATCGTAACGTAAAGTATTATAACTTTTTAACTCTTAAATGGGGCCGTACTGCTGGACGCAGAAAGGACGCCGTCCAGTGTAAAGGGGCCCTTATTTCCACACGGCCCACACTGACCAATGGTCAGTCAGAAAAAACGTCTTTGCTCACTGTATCTTCAAGTAACAACATTTTAACAAGTCGTATCGCGCCTTATTGTTTTCCGTTTCCATGCGACGTTAAAGGGATAATAACTCTTCGTTTCGGCCAAAAAATGAATTTTCCTGGGGTAAACAACAATTTTTCCATACTTACCAATGGTTAATGAATCCATTTTTACATTCAAAGTTAGTCCCTGGTTTTTTTCTAAAAAGTTTGGTTTTTTGTTAAAATCTCTTAAGAGATTTTAACAGAGTATAGCCGTCAATGGAGGTCACGTGGTCTAAAGACAAGCTCAGATATCAGAATAATAGCTATAACTGCCTTTTTGTGGTAAAACAGAATATATTATATTTCTATGAGTTATTCACAATGTTTTTATTGTGAAATGTAGATTTCATACGAAGAGTTATTATCCCTTTAAGGCGTATTGTTGCATGGTGAATTATTGTCACATTCTAAAAATACTGTCTTGCTCAGGGAGCCAAGGTCTTCGCTCGTAGACATAACAAATAATATGAATTCCCCATCTTCCAGCTGCGGTGAAGGCTCAAGACGCCTGTTGGGATCTTGTCAACACGGGAGGCGACCAGTACGGTAATTGTGGGAAACTTTCCAACGGGACCTACACCGTGTGTGCGACTGCGTAAGTACATGTAGATAAGTATTTCTTTTCAACTTTCTTATCCCGTTCATTTTTTTCACTTATTTTCCATCCTTATGTGGTTTGTAGGTTGAAAAAGGCACCCCAGTTTGCTGATTGGCTTCTCAGAAAGCCAAATTTACTAATTTCATTCCACGCGCTGTGTGACTATTTCCTGTATCCACTTAATATTTATTAAAAAAAAAAGAAGAAAATGTTAATTTTCATGATTTGCTTTTCAGTGATATCTTATGTGGTAAGCTCCAGTGCACCATACCTGGGTCAAGCGGAGCAGTTCTCCCCGTTATTGGGAATAGTAAAACCGGTACCAGTGTCACCACCACGTTTTCCAACGGAACAACTATCTCTTGCAAGTAAGTAACTAAGGGCGCATTCAGGTTCACACACCGTACTAGCTGGGGGATTCTCGCTGAAGTGCAATCAGTGGAATCAGCTTAATCGGCACGAGATATCTAATTACCCCCTAGCTGCTCAAGGAAGCGTGTCAGACAATTAAACTGATTGCATTTTTAAGCACTAAAAGACCAGCTGAGATCATGAATGAATACTCGTCAATGAATAGAGTGGGCAACCTTGATATTATTTGTCATGAAATCATAAGTGTTTAATTTGATAGTCGTTGATTATTATATTTTCAGTGGCGGAGACGCAGATTTTGGGGATGATGCCCCCAGCCCAGGTCTTACTGCTGATGGAACCAAGTGCGGAACCCAGAAGGTACGTTAAAACAGTGTAGGCCTTTAGACTGGGGTCGAGATAGTATTTGTAATATGGACATTATGTTTTCCAGAGTGGACATGCTTTAACCGATAGAATGAACACAAACCTATTCACACTTTGTTATTTAACTTCAAATATACTTATCTTTATGTAGAAGCCTTCTTCTGAGTGTGTATATTAGAATATAGGACCTAAATATTTTACTTGGGACCTTTTATTTAAAGCCTAGAGCACATTAAAACAATTATTAGTTCTTTCAATTTCGTTTTTATCTACTCTATATAGACCCCTACATCTGTGCTAGAAAGACCACCGACTAAGCATTGTCATTATTCATTTCGTTATTTTATATTGTCTCCAATTCTAACGAAGAGAACTTAATGTTTTCAGATGTGTTTAAGTAACAGGTGCCGTTCATTCTCTGAGATCTCTGTGGGGGTCAGTTGTGGTCAGGTGAATGGACAGACCTGTGCCGGACGCGGGGTGAGTTGACCAAGGGTCCTAGGACCCACATCACTAATAAACTCAAGGCGAAAATTGGTGTTCATTTCAAAATCGAAAAACATACAGTGTATGCTACTTGATAAAGTGAAGTTCAGTTGGCGGCCCCTAATCAAAGAGCCAACCAAATGCCAAACGTGCCAACGTTGGGCCAACACCATCTTGCCCTTTGGGTCGCACCAAATCACTGTTTTCATAATGCCATTCCATGCCGTACCATACCGGGGAATGCCAAGCATTTTCGAGTGATATGATCACGTGGAAAAGCGCGGGGGCCATCTCTGAGACTGTTTTAACAAACAAACAAAACTCATTGCTAAGGAAACTGTTCAACATTATCCGTGAGATTGTTTTGTAATTGAAGTTACCTTCACAGCATAATGAATATTTATATTACATCATCTCACGACTCTCTAATCGCCATTCGTTTTTATTCCAGTATTGTAACCAAGACAACCAGTGCGTGTGTAGAGACAATTACGACCCGGGCTCCAACTGTGAAAATACCGTCAACGGTAAGTACTAAAACAAAGATTAAGGGGCAATAAAACGATTGGGATTGATGGTTTGGTAGGCCTACAAACGTCGGTTGATATGATCTTGTCATAAGAAATATTTGTCAGTCTTAATTTTATTAATTTATGTATTTATCCATTATTAATAAATAAATAAATAAATAAATAAATAAATAAATAATTGTTTTTAACAATTATATTATTATATATTTCCAGAAAATGCTCTGCTGACGTGTTACAAGTGTTCAGACGCAGACGCGTGTGGAGGAACTCCGAACTCGGCCAACAGTACAACAGAATTGTGTACATCTAACGAGCAGATTTGCCAGGTAGGCCTATCAAATAACAGAGCTAGCTAGGGCTAAATCCTCACAAATCAAAATGCCCGAATACGCAATCATCAAAGCACTTCAAGATTGATAAGATGAATTAGGATAACGAAAAAGAAGTTTCGAATCTTAGAAAATTAAAAATGTACATGCAGTCTAAAGATAAGAATAGGGCCTACTAGAAAAGCTCTCAGAGAGGGAAGACCTCCGCCAAGACAGATATTAAGCTTATAGTTGACCTTTACTTAATCGGCGAAGAAAATGGCACAGATTTGTTCTGTTTATCAATTTTTTGTTCTTGATGGTTGTTGCTGAACAGGAGAAACATGTATGATGAATGTACAATTTTACAGGTGGTCCGGCTGGCTAGGACTGGGCAGACGACACATTACACTAGAGGGTGTGTTTACAAGACTTCTTGTACTGAAGAGTGCCAGACGACTTCCGGTGATACGAAATGCGTGGATTGCTGCCAGACAAGCCGCTGTAACACGGGTAACGGGGAACCGACCACTGAGAGCTCAGGAATTAAGACCACGATTTCAGCGGCCTACACCTTCACCCTGTCTCTATTGGTTTTGTTATTCTGAAGTGACAACTGCTGGTATAAGTAATGATCCTGCCCCTTGTCTCTCTATTGTAAGGCCGCATCGAGAACAGTGGACTAACTAGTCCGAGGGTCAAATATGGCCGACCAACTTGAATACTTTCCCAACTGGGAATCTTTTCTATATTAGCGGAATAGACGGTAGCCTAAACCTTTTAGTGGGTCGCCATATTTGACCCGCGGACTAGTCAGTCCACTGTTCTGAAAGCAGCCTCGGTGGTTTATGTAAGGCCTCTAGTGTTGGTGAGGTCAAACGTTTCCTCAAAGCCGAAATTTTTCTCCGATCACACACTTTTCTGTTTGATTTATTTAAATAACAGGTGACATACGTCTCATAACTTGTCAATATGCGACATTTCATTTACGTGGTCCAGTGTCGTTAAGAACATATTTCTGAAAATTTTAGAAAAAAAAAATGCCGATAAACACAGAGACTTGAAAAAGTTGCAGTAGAAGATGCATAAACAGTACCACTTCAATGCAAGTTGCAGCTCTATTTTTTTTAAATGTCAGCTATCGAGATTTATGTGTAATCCGATGTATGCACCACAATACCGCGGGCTCAGCTGTGATATTTTTTTTATAAAAAGTACCTTGTGGATTGAATTGCTATTATATTACATTGTACATAATATCATCTTTCAGTCTCTAAATGATGTCATCGATGACATTTACTGTACTGTTTCTTATGACCTTAGTCATCGATATTAGCTGTCTGTGATACGAAAGTAGTGATATAGGCCTATACACCCTTTGAACAGAATCATAGTGATCAGTCATGTATCAGTAATAAGCAGTGACAGACCCAAGGACGCACAATGGCCCTCTGCCACCCCCACCCCCAATTTTCGAGGTTCTACTAATTCTCATTCCAAGAAACATTGTACATTTGCCTAGCAAACGGAGGCAATTTTTTATCCGTGACCGAATAACCCCCCCCCCCCCAACCCGGCCTTCTGGAAAACCCTGGGTCCGCCTATGATTTGTGGACATATACCAGGAAGTGACTGAACGTGTTAGTTTACTTCAAAGCAATAATTTATTAGAAAAGAACGGAGAAAACATGCAAATTGGGGCCTACATTATCATGTGCTACTTTTCATATTTTTCTGTGATAGAAATGACTTTCTGTGTTGGTTGTCAAAACGAAATGATTTTATTTGTGTTTACGAATGCATTTTCAAGGGAATATTTGTGTATCCAAACAGAATTCCGTCCTTATTGTAGTTTGTAAATATCGACCTTTATTGTACATGTATATATGTCTTGCCGAATTGCTAGCAGTATTAAAATAAAAGGTAATTGAAGTTATATTTTTTAAATGAGCACATCTAATGGCAAAAACTGATCATGAAATAAAGAACTGTATAAACATATCACAGACAGTGTCTTTTATTACTTACTGGTATTTCACAAAACGATAACATGCACAAAGCGCATAATAATATTCATACTTAAAAGAAAAGAATGGAGACATGCCCATGGCCGCTAGGACGGTTTTTACAAATATACAAGAACCTGCTACACGAAAAAAAAATAACATGTGCTACATTGAATTGTTGATAGCAGGTACATCAAAATGAGATTCAGTTCCGAATATTATGCTACAATAACTGTGTCCAAGTCTTCTTTACAACGCATGATAAATAAGATATAGTATATATGATATGAGAGAGAGACTAGTCTATGTCAAACGAATTATCAGCATGGGTGGAACCAGAAGACGGCCTCCATCCGCCCCTGGTCTTTTTCTTTGAGCTAGACAAACACAGTCACAAAGATTCGGCGAAAAGCCAGACGCGAGCGATTTTACCGGACTCGCAGGACTTTTGAGTTCGGTCTTAAGTTTTTTTGACACCACCCCCGGTCTCCTTAATTAAACGCGACCTTCATATTCACTTTATGCACACTTGCCCACACAGATATTAGAGTCTGGAACCGCGCTTAAGTTTGAGGACTGTGGTTTTCAACCTAATTACTTTTCTTAAAGTGCACTTGATTTGTAAACTGAATCCACACCACGTATGATATCTGGTAGCGTCTCGGCTGAAAGTCAAACAGACACAGGTCTTTTGTACTCTTGACTAGCATCCAAGTGGAAGGACTGAGAGACAATATAACAGGGTGCTTAACAATTTGATACACAGCAACTAGAAAAGCACTCCGAGAGCGCAGACCTCCGCCAAGGCAGCTGATTATTAATTATTGATTGATTATTGACTTCTTAGTTAACCCATTTCCCACCTACCCTGAAAATTTCATCAAAATCGGTCCATAATTTTTTGAGTTATGTTGATGACAAACAAACAGACAGACAGACAGAAAGAGACAAACAGGGGTGAAAACATAACCTCCTTGGCGGAGGTAATAAGAGGAGATTTAAAAACATATCCTCATCCCAATACCCGGGTTGACATTACTTTAGCTAATAAAAGTAATTCAGTTACCGATTTCGATTGATCCAAGTCGCATATGCTTCACATTATGATACATCTGAATGAACTTTTCGCGTACATGAACTTTTCGCTTTTCAGAAATCTATAAAAAATATATCTTACTAACCAAAAATAATTTTACCGAACAAACGGTATACAGAACCTTGAAATGAAATGGACTTCACGTTTAGGTGGCAAATTGTTTGTGTTTTTCTGAAGAGGTCACTTTCCATACGAAGTTCTGAAGCGTCCATGGTACTGGACCTCGCGTGGACTGAGCATTTTTATCAGCTTCTATGACCTTGGTCATTAAATTCTTCAACCCGCGCATGCGCAACAACACGCTACTATAGTCACTTATGTGGACACCTAGATACAGCGTGTCGGGATCCTCTAAAATAATACCCACAGGGAAGAGGAACGGGTCTTGGATGTACCTTGCTCGAACAATGGGCACACTGAAGAGAATGTTGTGATGGACTAAGATGTCATTGCTGACGTACACGATTCTGAATGGCTCCACGTGGAGCACTACCAGATGAGTTGTGTAGAAGCGCTTCCAGCTCGGCGCTTTGAAAAACGTCCCGTGGGCCACGCCCACGTAATATTTCCCGCTATAATGTTCAAAAGGGGTGCCACCCCTTAGGTGAGATTTATTGTCTTTGAACTTGATGTTCTTCCCTGAGTCGTCTTTGTGAATAAAAGAGCACACCCCTTTAATGGTACAGCGAAGGATCCGCAGAGGGTCGAGATTGTGGACGAAGTGCAGCTGTCCGTGCAAGTTGAAGGCTGCCCAGTGTTTGTCACGCGGCATGCCATATTTGGTCGGTTGGACTCCGCCGTTTGTGATACGTGGTATAATAATTTCACTGTTGTCGAAGTCCCAAAACATAGTGTAATCTATCACAGTTCTGTCTTTAAAGTACACGGCTGTATTGAAAGTCACGAACAAGCGCTCCTTGCCGTCTTTTTCATACACCTTAAACATCCTCGGCTCTATGGGACCATCGCCAAACCCAAAAGCCTTGGTTGTGGGTATCCCCAGGAGAGAACCGTTCGTGAGGGGCTTGAAATTTCCATCGAAGTTTTGCGTGTAGAAGTAATTATCTGCGAAGAAGTTGTACGGTTTCTCCCTTTTCTCATATCTTTCCTCTTCTAGCCAAATGCGCAACACGGTCACCAGCTGGTCGTTATGCCAAGTAATGGCAGGACTATTGGCGTAGAAGACGTTCTGGTGGACTGGATCCGGAAATATTTTCTTCACCTTATTCTCAACGAAAGGGGAAAATGAGTAAACGAGTGAGGTAGTTAGGGTTACTGCCACTTCGGCGATTTTTCCGCTACTGTTGAATATCCCACCGATTGCAGTGTAAGGGCGAATAAACTTATCCGGTGCAAGAATTCGATGCTTTTTCTTCCCCTTCGCTGGTTCCTGGGTCCGTGTTTTTTGCGGTTGTTTGTGAACGTCTTGTAAAGATCGTCCGACATTGGAATAGCTCTGCATGTGGTTCTCGGAGAAACTGACTGATCCCACATCGTCTTGCTTGAAAATTAAGTAAAAAGGACCGAAAATCCCGATGATAACGGTGAGGGTTATGGCCCATCGTAAGTGGTTGGATTTCAGTCGTCGACGCGGAGTCAGCATGGTTATTGTTTTGGCTGCTATTTCACAACACGTTTAAGTAATAAATTATAAACGTTTTATAACACAATACTGTTCTCTCGTTTTTAATTCCTGTCTCAAGAACACTTGTGAATCTTACGTATTCGTCTTTTTCTTCAAAATCTGAATTTTTCCACCGATCACGTCAATGCAGTAGCTGCAGTCGTCGCATCTCCATAGCAAACGCTCATTAGGAACATGAATTCTGTTTGTTATTTTGCGTGAACGTCGGTCGCACGGTTTCTGTTGACATTCATGTAATGCGGCTTGCACTTTCATAAGACAGACAAGACGTCAACCAAGTATCCTAGCTTCTCACTGATAGCATGACAGCTCTGGAATAAAGTAAGAAGCAATTATTAGCGCGTATCACATATCACGTAATACGCTCGCTGGGATTTAATGAAAATTTACACGGCGAAAAGGTGGGGGAAATTCTAAAATAAAATCTAGCTGTACAATTACATGAAACTGAGACAGGAACTCTACAAAACATTGTCAAATTCCACAATAAGTAATTTTTTATTTATAAATATAAAATGGAGTTGACGTGATTTAAACTGTCTGCACAGTACAGTGTATATACATTTCACTTTTGGGATTTAAAAAACATAATCTAGCAAGGCGCTGAGAGTACAACATGAATACGTACGCACAGAGGATGAAGCATTGCATTGAAAATTAATAACAGAACAGAGCGGCAATAAGTTTGACGGCTCATCGTGATAACACTGACGCCTTTTCCTGCTTTTGTCTTTGTGCATTTTAATATGAGCCAATAAAATGATGTCTTTTGATGACAGTTTAACAGACATGTTTTGCAATATCCTGCACAGGCGGAATTGATCATTTTAGTAAATTAATTTTCTTTGAATTTGACATCGGAGAAACCAAAGGTAAGGGCGGAGTGGAATGATGCGTATGCCACGAATTGTTTAATTAACGTGAGGATGAAACTAAAAAAAAAAAAAAATTGTGACGTAAAACGAAACAGAGGGGCAATTCCCACAGATACTTGGATCGATTTATCTCCATGGGGAGTCTCACTAAATTGCTGTCAACTCAACCGGCTTACATATCTGTCACGCCTAATAAAGCTGTTAGGGTGGTAAGTATCTTTACCCCCTAGCTGATTATATCTTGGGTCCCTGATTCTTGTGAAGGGAGACAAGTTAAGAGTCATCCATTTTTATCACCATTTTCACAAATTTACAAACCGTACGTTTGGGGGGGTGGGGGGTGGAGGGGCTAAATACCCTCTCTAATAAAAATGATGATCCAAATTGCTGTCAAAGGTCATCATTTTTAGCTTTTTACCTTATACTCTGCGAAGGAGGTGGGTGTAAAAACTCTACTGCTTGTAGACTTGAGAAAACGGAGGTAAAAATGGATGACTTCTTTAAAAGGTGGTCCCGCGGCTAAGAGGGGTCACAAGACCCTCTACGTCCCCGACGGGTGGCCATTGGTTTTATGTAACTTATCAGTGGCACTACATGTGCATTTTTGTATTCGTTCGTAATCACACGATAACAGTGATTTCTCTCTCTACACCTTACAATATTCTCTGGTCAAAGTCTTATGTAATACTGGTCCTTGTAATAAGTTGTTGCTCTGTGTTCGCGCCATTAGCGTCAAATGGCAATTAAATGTTATCGGGAAGTATGCAAATGCATTAAATAAATAGACCCGTTTAATGCATTGGTGTACTTACATCCCATTACCAATAAGAAAGCGCATTATTTCTTGTACATGTGGCAAACATTTGCCTCTTTACCAAGCGTTAATAGTTGCCTTGATATAGTTAGTTCTGATAAAATATAGGGCCTATTAGTAAATCCTGATAAAATATATTAGTTTTAAATTAGCAAATATGTTAATCAGCTTGGCAATTGAATCATAAACAATAATCATTTAGCACAGGCTGGAATTTTTCCTCATTATTAGCTTTCAGCTAACTTGGTGGGAGACCGTCTTCAGACTGGTGTGATCTAACGGAGACGAAGAATTCTAGCTTATGCTAAATAATTGTCGGTTATGAGTCTTAAATTGCAGATATAATAATAATCGTGAAAATAGTCCCTCTTGTAATACATGTATCACGGCAATTACAAGATTGAAAAAACGTTTCCCATATTGAACTGTCAAAACGAGAGCTTTTAAAGATATCAATTATTTGCAAGTTGGATAATGAAGAAGCACTAATTTTTCGCAATGAAATCGATTATTCTAATGCTGCAGTGTATCATTTAACAACAGCTTATACGGATCACGACACTTCCGTGTATGTGACATTTTCTCCTTTTGGAGGTTGGGGACAATTGATCGATCATTTCAATGTTGTCAAATTACGACTGTTTCACATTTTGTAGTATACTGTACACGAGTGTAAGGGATCTAGACCACTTAACTGTGGTCTGCTACGTTTTAGAGGAACCTCAATTACACACGACGTTCACACAAATTAATGGCATCTGATCTCATGTTTACAGAAAAAAGTGTACAGATTAAACAAATAAATCAACGAAATTGAAGAATAAAATTAAAGAAAAATTCTTAAAAAATTTACATGGGATCATGCCCACCAACGACACTAACGAGGGACCCAAGGTATTAGAAAGTTTTTTGACAATGCTCAAATCACAGAAGGATTCAAAACGCGTTTTAACGGCCCAGTTGCCATGTGTCTCCAAGACCTAAACTCTCGCAGTAACCAAGAAGACAGCTTGTCTACTCCTGTGTCGTCTTTAGTCCTCAGCCATCAGTTGTATAAGTCTGAAGGGCTGACTGTCAGGACAGGTGTGACAGGAATGGAAGTCCGCATAGAACCGTAGTCCTTTGCTCCTTGCTTTGTTACAGGTGACAGGTGACATTCGTCCAATATATTTACCCCAACGGTTAAACCTTAACCTGTACTAATCATATTGGACCCCGGACTTTCATTCCTAGGACTGCCATTCCTGTCACACCTGACTCTGAAGTTGTGTAATATCTCGCACTAGTTATTTACACTGAGGGAAGTATGGGGAAAACGTTTGTCAAGTCAATATTTAAATCCATTTCTTAAACCTAGGTCACATTTGCCATACGATGCCCGTACGGTGTACGCATACATCTCTTTTCTTACGGAATCGTACGGATTTACGGACAAGTCAATCTAAAACTTCTGTCAAATTTTGAAAATTGTAAACCCGTAGGCCCACGCATTATCGTACGTGGCATCGCACAGTTACGGTACGGGTATTGTTTGGTGGACTTGTTGTAATCGTGGTAATGTTTGCACTGAGACTGAAAGGGCTCCTTACGATCACTTTTCACCGACAACCCGAACCCCCCCCCCCCTCATAATTTCAAGCTCATATAAGCGAAATGGTATGGCACACGTATATAATATAAACGTGCTCGCCGGCGTAGCCCGTAGCTACTGACGATGTCATTAAAATCGCACGGTAAATCATACACAATTTCATCGTACCGCGCCCGTGGCAAATGTAAGCTAGGCTTTACCGCACACGTCTTTTGCTACCAGCACGTTTGGTGGGTCTGTACGACAAGCAGTATACACGGTGAGTCACTTACGTGGATACAGTTCATGGACGGTGAGCTGTGATCGTGGTTTTCTGTGTTCCACTCAGCCCTGACGTGACACCGATGTCACAGAGAACCCAGCCCAAACTGCTCTCTCTCTGTCCGGCAGAACATGGCTGTCTCTCTGTAAGGCGCTTTGACCCAGTAAACTGCCTGCCGTCACGGGGCTTTTCTCTCCTTTGACATTCTATACCTGGGTATTGAAGTGGTTTTATATAATAGGGCAGGTACGTCACGCCTAACTCGCCAGGTAAATATAATATGAAGCAGGGGTATTGATCGGACTGTACTCGAACAGTGCAGGGTAGTGGAGCTACAGTGTAGAAGGCGCGGTCACTTTCGGATTATCAATGTCGCTCCTAAATCGATCCATATGACGCAAAGGTACGCCTCAATATGTATTTACATGGAGCTGTTTAAACTATAGCACAGGTTATAATATTTAAAATAAGTTGATTGATTAATTGGCTATAAGTTAACACACTAGAGGCAGGAGTGTCTTGTTATACAGGAAGTAATAATAAGAAGTACATGGTTTGTGTTCAGTTGGATATAAACTAGATAGGTACAAAAAAGCTGGGGATGATGTGAACGGGTTTTATTTGTAATTGAATTCTGCCGGGAGTCGCGTGAAAGGGCGCAACCCGCAGTATCACAGAGAGTGTTTACATACCGTGGTGTCCATAAAGCCATTGCAAAGCAGGGACTGATGTGTGCTAGTGCAGAGACCGGGCGTCATGTGAATATATCTGACAGGCGGTAGTAATTCCAGTACATTACATGGTAGAACGTGAGTATTCACACATCATTTTTTATATCTCTGGGCCTGGATACCGCTAATTATTTCACTCGTTGAATCGGTTTACGTGCATGCTTATTTGGTTTAAACTATGCCAACAAATACATGCTGGTATACGGATGATACTCAGGGCTTCAGTTCCACTTTATTTCATTATTCATTATTCATTAATTATTCATTTTAAACATTTTGGGGTGGAGTGTGTGCGGACGTACCCTGTAGGGTGGGTGCTGGGGTGGGAGGGGGGGGGGTGCTCCACCTATTACCAGCACCACGTGCGTGCTCATTGATATTACAGCTAGCCCACGTGTGTTCATGTATTTACTCACCTATACTTGGCGTGCGAATCCAGTACACCCCAAAACACGCAATATGACACAAGACCCTCCAATAACATGTCCCATCAACTGAAAACCAGTCTTCCCACAATTTCCCCCGGCGTGATCATTGTTTATACATGGCTAGGGCCTGCTTGAGTTCTGTCCTCGCCCTGCCCCTTGGTTGCGAGGATAATTTCAACTTTATCCCCAAGTGGGCGTGGCGTGGGGATACTGGAAGTGCTTGCGGGTTCGACGTAGATGTCTTTGTACACAAACAGTGAGATTAGGCGTGACAGTGAACGCAAATAACTCAGGTAAGCCTCTATCTTGGATGTGGCATCCCAGTTTGCTTACTCAGATTATATGCCTTCTTGTTAGTGCAGAGGTTTTCCCAATGTCAACTGCAGGTAAAGAGAATGTGGCTCTATTGTTCGCCGGAATACTAGTATAGCAAAACACCAATTTTCTTTTCATACTTCTCAAACCGGTAAGTAGGTCACAGAATAGAAGGGGAACAGTGGACTGTTAAGTTTTATTAACTCCACAGGTATAAAGGTGTGCCACTTTTTAATTACCCACACGTTTTCACTTGGTTTTCATTATACTATCATGTCAATTTTATGGGAAATACTGGCCTCAAAACTCCAACAATTTACTCGATTCGAAATAATGACAACGTCGCGTTTCGTTGCGTTGACCACATTAGTTTCAAATGGACATTTAATATTCTCAATTCATGACTAGTCTATTTTCTGTAATCATATTTAGAGAGATCAAGCATTCCTAACCAGCACGGGGATGCTATTCGTGGCTACATAACACAGACATTAAACAACCAAGACTGGAATATTTAACGTTTCTAACGATACTCGCTATCGAGTTAATGGATGATATTATGTGTATTTTATTCAGACAGCCAACTTCTTAGTTCTAACACCTCAACAGAGCAAGACGTCCGGTTGGCAGACTGAGGGGTTGACGAAGGGTGACCGCCGGAGAGCAGGACTAATGGCTAACAGTTAACCTACGTGACAGCACAGTGAGCGGGTCAGTATAACTCTATGTAACAGGTCTAGTAGAGGCTAGAGAGCGAGCTAAGTGATGTCTACGAGTACTAGTGCTGAGCACGAGTGGGTGTCACGTATTGTATAACATACAGTTTAGGAGAATGCACTGCTACCATAGTCTCTGCTGACACTTACCTTGATGTTCTGGTAAATATTGCACGGAGTGACACTGCATCATCTCAAATATAGACCCCTCTCTTAGAACTGTCTTGGAAAGTCAATATATCCATTACCAAATATAAAATCAAGTTTTCAAAAATTATCAAATTTATACCCTTATCACATTAGCTTTCCATGAATGAATATCAGTCTTAAATACCTTCGGATTAATTTATATGCATATTTTTATTGTCCTCATTTAGGGGCAAGTGAGTGCAAAATTGCAGGAAATACAATGACGGAGAACGTAAAACAGACACATTATAATTAAAATATTGTTGCTGGGTAATTGTAAATGCTGTCAGGGTGTTAAGTGTGCCTGCAGCGGGGTGTAACTGACGGGTGTTGGATGGAGGGATGCGTCTGGATACCTTGCCTGAGGGATGCCGTTCTAGTCGGTGGTGCGGAAGTTCCACCGGTGTGACAGGAATGGTAGTCCTAGGAATGGAAGTCCGGGGTCGAATAAGATATACTAGAACAGGTTAGGGTTGGTCAGAGTATTGGGGTAAGTTTATGGGACGAATGTTACCTGTATCAAGACTTGAAGTAATGGGGAACGGACTATGGTTCTTAGGGGAGAACCATTCTTGTCACACCCGGCGCAAATTTCTGTCCTGATGCAGATTTCTTTCTACCGCTGCTGTCATAGCCGAGAACTTCCGTCACTGTTGAGCAGTGGGGGGTCAGGCACGCTTTGGCTTCTGCCGCGTAGGCCTATATAGGACTGGAAAATCAGAAATAGAAGTTATGAGCAAGAGGAGTTAGTGAGTAGAAGAGAGTTAGTTTTGAAGAGAATAAAAAGAAGTTAGTTAGTTGAATTAATTGTTACCGTTACCGTTTCAAAACTTTTAGAGGCTATATAGACTCCAGAACTTAGATTTGCAGCTGTAAGTAGAAAAACGAATACATAAAATTAAACAAAAGTGTTGCCAGGGGACATCTTACGACTGATGTGGCAACACCTTTGTTAAATTTTATGCCTGAATGTGTTTCGAGAAACAAAGAACCACAATACTATATACATTTGTAAATAACAACAACAAATATTTAAATATAAAGAGGGGTTTCGATTTTTATATAATAATATCTCTCCTCTATGTTTAATCTGGTGTCGCTAGGGTTGTGTGAGTAACCCAATTTATCATTTGACGAAAAGTAATGAAANATTGAGACTGAAAGGGCTTCGCTCGATCACTTTTCACAGACAAACAGATTTTTCCCCCTACATAACATAACCTCTCGCTCATGTCAGCGAAATGGTATGGCACACGTATATAATATAAACGTGCTCGCCGGCGTAGCCCGTAGCTACTGACGATGACATTAAAATCGCACGGTAAATCATACACGATTTCATCGTACCGCGCCCGTGGCAAATGTAAGCTAGGCTTTACCGGCACACGTCTTTTGCTACCAGCACTTTTGGTGGGTCTGTACGACAAGCAGTATACACGGTGAGTCACTTACGTGGATACAGTTCATGGACGGTGAGCTGTGATCATGGTTTTCTGTGTTCCACTCAGCCCTGACGTGACATCGATGTCACAGAGAACCCAGCCCAAACTGCTCTCTCTCTGTCCGGCAGAACATGGCTGTCTCTCTGTAAGGCGCTTTGACCCAGTAAACTGCCTGCCGTCACGGGGCTTTTCTCTCCTTTGACATTCTATACCTGGGTATTGAAGTGGTTTTTATATAATAGGGCAGGTACGTCACGCCTAACTCGCCAGGTAAATATAATATGAAGCAGGGGTATTGATCGGACTGTGTTGGAACAGCACATGGTAGTAGAGCTACAGTTTAGAAGGCGCGGTCACTTTCGGATTATCAATGTCGCTCCTAAATCGATCCATATGACACAAAGGTACGCCTCAATATAGATGTGCATGGAACTGTTAAAACTTTAGCACAGGTTATAATATTTAAAATATGTTGATTTATTAATTGGATATAAGTTAACATGCTAGAGACAGGAGTGACATGTTGTTAGGTAATAATAACAAGTACATGGTTTGTGTTGAGTTGGATATAGGTATGGATAAGCTGGGGATGATGTGAACGGGTCTTATTTGTGAATTGAATTATGCAATGGGAGTCGCGTGAAAGGGCGCAACCCGCCCTCTACACCAGCAGTATCACAGAGAGTGTTTACATACCGTGGAGTCCATAAAGCCATTTCAAAGCAGGGACTGATTTGTGCTCAGTGTAAAGACCGGGCGTCATATGTATACGTGACAGGCGGTAGTAATTCCAGTACATTACATGGTAGAACGTGAGTATTCGCACATCATTTTTTATATCTCTGGGCCTGGATACCGCTAATTATTTCACTCGTTGAATCGGTTTACGTGCATGCTTATTTGGTATAAACTACGCCAACAAATACATGCAGGTACATGGATGATACTCAAGGCCCCAGTTCCAATTTATTTCATTATTCTTTCATTATTCATTCATTATTCATTTTAAACATTTTGGGGGTGGAGTGTGTGCGGGCGTACCCTGTAGGGTGGGTGCTGAGGTGATGGGGGGGGGGGGGGTCCATCATTTACCAGCGCACTCGTGAGTACCCATTGATATTACAGCTAGCCCACGTGTGTTCATGAATTTACTCACCTCTACTTGACGTTCGAATCCAATGCACTCCAAAACACGCAATATGACACAAGACCCTTCAATAACATGTCCCATCAACTGAAAACCAGTCTTCCCACAATTTCCACCGGCACGATCATTGTTTATACATGGATAGGGCCTGCTTGAGTTCTGCCCTCGCCCTGCCCCTTGGTTGCGAGGATAATTTCAACTTTATCCCCAAGTGGGCGTGGCGTGGGGATACTGAAAGTGCTTGCGGGTTCGACGTAGATGTCTTTGTACAC